GGCCACGTAGCGCGCTTCGACCGACAGACCGTGCTCTGCCAAGAGTGAATAAAGGCGGCGCAGGACGGTGTTCGTGTTGGGGGATCTTGCTCGCCCGGAGTTCACTACCGCCACTACTACCGTGTTGTCCGAGCGCGCGAGGTACCTGCGCCGACTGGGAGGGAGGCCTGCTGGAACCTGATGGTGGATGGCCATCATGAGGCCGAGCTCCACCCTGCGCAGGTCCGCGCAGAATTGGCGCCGAGGGTGAAGGCGAGCACGTGGTGAGTCGGACTCCGTGATGAATTCTCCGATGGAACGGATGAACGGACGCAGGAGGCGGAAGATTGATGCCGCGTGTATGAGCTTGCCTTGGAAGGACTGGGCCTCGTGCACGTTCTTGCAGGCGCCGGGTTGAGACCAGTCGAGTACCAGCGCGAGAACCGCGGCCTGCTTCTCCTCGGGGAGAGATACAGTCTGATACAGTGCGGTGTTCCAGGTGCCAGTCGTACCCTGTGAAGCGCCGCTGTACTGCGAGGCGGCGCAGCTTCGGAAGGCTCCACGGCACACCTAGGTTGGCGGTTGCAGCTATGAAGGCATCCTCGGTAAACTCGTGTCCTGGGAAGCAGATGGTGAAGAAATCGTTCACTCACTTCATCACGTGCCCAAAGCCGCGGGCATGGTAGATGTCGACGAGCATGTCCGCGATCGACCCGAAGACCCCAGCGCTCGAGCGGAGCCCGAAGCACAAGGCTCTGTCTACGTACACCTTGCCTTTCCAGAACACGCACAAGGCACGTTGCTGGTCGGGGCGCACCGGAGTGATACGGTATGCGGCGGAAATGTCGAAAGTGGCTGCACGGCACCCGGGCGGGAGGCTGAGTATGAGCGCCGCGACCTTGTCGAAGGCTCCCCACTCTGTCGGGAAGTCGTCTGCGTTAACGCCAGCGTTGACGGACGGGACGGCCTCCTGAGTGTCAGAAATGCGAATGATTAACGCGCGAGTATCATATGTGTTATGGCCTGCCCCGCCTGTCTGGTTACGAGCTTCGGCGCACACCTGTAACGGACGCCCAGCATACGATCGCCCGCCACCCTACCTTTATATACTGTTCCCGCACCTACCGTCTCGCCACGCGATTGCCTCCTGGCTCTTTCCCATCGCCTCTCCTTCCCGTCTCCCCGCTACCGCGAGCCTCTCCGAGGTCAAGCGCGTCCTCTAATCCGATCCCGCCTTTCCGCTCGTCTCCGACTCGCCCGACCTCCGCGCTCCCGCGCTCCGCGACCGTAACAGGTGTCCGATGTGGATGTTGATGGAGCATGACACGATGGGAATTGGTGCAGGTATATCCATCATAAGGGAACGGATTGCGGAGAAAAAGCAGGAGCATATCGGTAAGATAGTGGTGGGACGAGACAAGTAGCGCATCTGTAGGCGTCTATCGAACTCCGTGCGACACGGGCCCTAAGGCCCAGCCAAAAAGCTGTCTAATGCAATCGAATCTGAGCGAATGGTTGTCGAATAAATTTCCATGATCGAATGACATCGAATGAAATATGACCTTCAACGTTTCGTGGGTTGATCTTCATGGCATCTTTCTCCCACGCATATCGCTGGCCTGGTTGAGCGAGCGCTTCGTGACCGACACGTCACGCTGCGTGTGGACGTGGGTCGGGGCGCGTCGAGTGGAAGCGCCAGACGCGTGAATGTCGCGCGGGATGCGCGAAAACAGGCGCTTATCTGATTGCGTTCTGTCCCTGCCTCCATCCTTTCCCTCTCGACTACGACTCTGCACTAACTGACTCCTCCACTGCGTCTACCTGAGACTACTGCAACTTTCCCCAGTGCTGAAGCTTTTCCAGCTCCATGTCAAGCGAGCAAGAGTCCGGGCCCAACCAGAAGGTGCGGTGCTATTGCGAACGATGTTGCGGCGTCTTCCGCTGTAGGAAGACATGGAAGAAGCACCAGGCGAATGCCCCTGCGACATACCAAGCTCCTCTCCGCCAGTCTGCGACCGCTGCTGCGTCAATGTCGCAAGCGGCACCTCGAAAGCGTGCGCGGAAGGCTTCAACTCAGGCTGGACAGATGCAGGCGCATGAAAATGGATACGGTCGTGGTGAGGGCATGGCGGGAGAGTCGTCGAAGCGTCTCCGTCTCGACCTGCAAGAGAATGATGAAGCTGGCGAGAACATCGACGCCGCGGAGGTGCGCCCTTTTTGCCAACTCGTCTTCGCTTGGCTTAGGGTTGGGACGGGTTAGATCGCGTTTAACGACGGCTTTGAGGTGCTGCCTGATGCAACTGGGGAAATCGCGCCGGCTCGCGGCTATATTGCAAATTCGCTCGTCCTGCGCTCGCCTCCGCGCTCCCCGTCGACCCCTCCACGTTCCCCGTCGACCCCTCCGCGTTCCCCGTCGATCCTTCCGCGTTCCCCATCGATCCCTCCACGCTCCCCGTCGTCCCCTTCACGTTCTCCCATTCTGTCGCATTTGCCACTTCTCCCTCTCCCTCCAACGGATCCCAGCGCCGGGTCAGGTGACGCTGCCGCTTTACCTATTCCCGCCCTTCCGTTTACATTCGTACCTGTACCGGACGATATCAATGAAGAGACGACAAGTTCCCTCGGCCTGCCGCGCGCTGTTGTGTACAACGAACTGAGGACCGCCTTAGCTTTCAAGGCCGCCCTTGAGAAAGCGTCCCTGGATGAGGACGGCTTCGATCCGGATACCCTCTATCGACTTCGACACCCGGTTCAAACTCCAGTCGATGCCGATCCCCGCCTCCAGGATCCTGGCTTCAAGTTTGCTCTTAGGTTGTTTGTGGACACCACTACGTCGTCTGATAGCACATACAACCGCATCTGCCAGAGCTACCAGGCTACGCATGCGGATACATCCATGCCCTCTCTTCACGACATGAAAAAGTTCGTCGCAGACCTCACTGGAATCACCCCCATCCCCCGCGACATGTGTATGAACTCGTGTGTAGGCTTCACGGGCCCATGGTCGGATCTTGAGAATTGTCCCATCTGCGGCGAGCCTCGCTACGAGCAGGACACCGGGACGAAGGAGCGGAAACCCCGTCGGACTTTTGACACAATCCCTATCGGTCCGCAGCTTGTCGCTCAGAGCCGCGACGCCAAGAACGCGGAGAGGATGCAGCACCGAAAGCGGCAAACCAAGCGGCTTCTGCAGATGCTAGAGCAGAACGGTTACCACATCAGCGAGTTCAGTGATGTCTACCACGGCGAGGACTACATTCAGGGAGTGCTATCAGGAGACATTGGGGAAGATGATATCGTCCTGATGCTCTCCGTGGATGGCGCGCAGCTCTACCAAAACAAGCCATCCGACTGTTGGATGTACATATGGGTGGTCTTCAACCTGGCCCCGGATCAGCGGTACAAAATGAAGTACGTCCTACCCGGTGGCGTCATCCCAGGCCCAAACAAGCCGAGCCATGTCGACTCCTTCCTCTTTCCGGGTTTGCACCACTTTGCCGCTCTTGCCAAGGAGAAGCTCGCAGTGTGGGATGCGGCGCAGATGCGGGTCTTCTACCAGAAGCTCTTCCTGCTTCTCGCCACTGCTGATGGTCCCGGGATGACTTACCTGAATGGGTTGGTCGGTCACCAAGGCGCACAAGGGTGTCGTCTGTTCTGCCCACTCCGGGGACGTCACAAACCCGGTGGTGGAACTACATACTATCCCGCGCTGATCAAGCCACACGACTACGCTGTCACGGGATGTGACCACGGAGACTACAACCTGAATGAAAGTGTCCTAGATACTTCCGCAGCAATTATTCAGCGCTACGAGAACAGCCTCGACGAGCTGCTCACAGCTCAGAATGATAGCCAGTACAAGAGGTTGCGACTGAAGACTGGTATTGCGAAACCAAGCCTCTTTCGTGGCCTTCCGGCGAATTCCTTCTTGGGTACCCCGGTTGGATTTCCTGCCGATCAGATGCATCTGGTCTCTTTCAACCTCACCGATCTCCTCATTTCCCTTTTCCGCGGCACAATCAAATGTGAGAAGACCGACGACAAGACTCGCTGGGACTGGGCCGTCCTCCAGGGTGACGTTTGGAAGGTCCATCATCAGGAAAAAACCATTTGCACGGGAGCGCCGGCCCGAGCTCGCGGAGACTCGCGTGCCCCGAGCGACGCGCGGGAGATCTCCGGAGCACTCTGGAGCAACCGCCGATGGCCTCGAGGACACCTGAGCGGCGTGGGAGACTCTGGCGTTCTTGAGAGTCTTGCAGACCGCTCAGTTGGCCTCGAGTGTTTCGCAGGGTGCACGGTGGATCTCAAAACTTTGGCTGGACACTCAGGATGTTTCGAGAGTGTTGGCCAGGGGTCAGGCCCAGTGAAACCCTACAACTTTTAGAAACTTTCAAAAACGTGCCGAAAACTTTGCAAGGCTTTCAGAACCGTGTGAAAGCGTGCACGTGTGGATCCGTGCAAAACCGGGCGGACGCCTCACGGGCGTTTATATCGCTCAGATCATCAGTATAGTGCAATTCAACGGCCGTGGATATTTGCTGACGGGAACCGGGATCTGATGACACGAAGGGCATCTATTGCGAAAACCTAATGATACATCTGTACATGGGCCGTGCCCATCCGGCAGCTGCTTGCATTATTGCCGGCTTGCACACGGACTTGTCCGCCGTCCGTCTCCTGCAACTTTGTCCGGGCTTCTCGCACAAGTGTCATGTACAGCGATTCGGTCATTCGTACGGTAGGGAGGAGCGCGGGCGTTCGATGAGAAAAATGCTGTGGGACGCGTCCGTGTCAATCCGGGAGGACGAGCACCGTGTTATGGGTTCCAGCTTGCCGTCTTCTCAACATTCGGTGTGGTGACGGCGGACGCTGCCTGGACGGAGGACGAGCGCAGCCTCGCAGAGCCTGGGATAGCGGTCAGCGACGAGAAATGTATCCATGCAGGCGACAATGTGCGGGAAGTGCGCTCCTCTCCGCACCCGCTGCTGACCGCGTCGTATGCCGGCAGGGACCAGTACACGGTCAACAGCTGCTTCATTTCTAACTCGTGGAGCAACACCTCCAAGGGCGCGTTCGCAGGCACATGTATTGGTTTTGTTCTTGTTTTTATTGTTGCGCTTGTCCGCCGCCTCCAGCGCGAGTACGAGTCACGACCACCAGCCGCGCGGAGGTTGCCCTGTGCAACGTTGAGTGCGCGCACCTCGGTCGGCGCCCTATAGAGCTCGATAGAGTCACTGGTAGCAGCATACACGGTGTGCGCCTACACGGCGATCACTGCGCGAGTGAGACTTTGCGATACAGAGGGAACGGGGGGAGGGGGCAACAGAATGACCGAGCTACAAACGACGTACCGCTGCTGCCTCAGCCGCGTGCACTCGACCTGGCCACCGCGTTCTCCTGGAGCGTCCGGAGGGGATTGAGCTGCTCCTCCGAGAGCGCCGCTGCCGCGTGGGGAACAAGCGGGCGGGCGCGTGCGGGGTGGCGGACGATACGGATGCCCTCACGCGCTCTAAGTACATGACCGTGCTTAGGTCACGGGCTCTTGAGCTGTTCAACCAAAATCGACCGGGCATTGAACGTATGGGGGCAGCGCGCCGCGCGCTTGTCACTGTAGCAAAGGATGGTAGTGGAAGCAGCGAGGCGGGATACTCTGGCGTCGCCGGTGCCAGACGCGTTGAGTCTCGATCACGTGGTACGACCCAAAGCAGCAGCAACGCGGCACGCCCAAGTGGTTGCGCGTTGTGGCTTCCTCGACGTGTTCTCTCATCCTACCATCCTCTCTCTCCAAAATGTTGCCCCTCCCCAGATGTGCCCTCACTCCAGATTTTCGGCATCTCCTCTTTCCTCAGCATCCCCACAGCATCCCCTCAGCAACACCCTCGACACACACTTTCTCGTCTACCGCTGGCCCTAGCAGAACCAATTCATTACCTCATGGGGTCCAGCATGTCTTCTGGTATGAATGTTCTTTCCTTCGGGAGCCCTTTTCCTGTGCACGCGAAGTACATGCTCACTCCACAACCACGTCCCGTCTCAAGCACGTCTGTCTTCGGAGTATATGGTGGGTATATGCGCGCCAATCTGGAGCCTTCTGCTGGGCCGTCGACTGCTACGATGTTCTTGATACGTCACGACTTCTCTCGTCTCCAGCTCCTGGATCATGGCGCTCTCTCCGTCATGGACCGTCAGTTAGATGGGCTCGTTCAACGGCTTTTGGCGCATGCACCCATCTCCCCCTCCCATTCACAGAGATCGTGCGCGTGTGGAAGGAGTACCACCTCAAGCCGCGCACGCGCTTCAACACGCCCGTCACGTCCGTCGCGGACGTCAAGACGAACCCGGAGCGGTCGCAGTCCAGGTGGATCGTCAACGGCGGCGTGGACAGCGAGTTCGACGCGATGGTGTGCACCATCGGGACGCGCGGGAAGCCACTGCGGATCGAGATCCCGGAGACCCCGGATTCGAACCAGAACATGAACGGCACGGACGCGTCGGACGACGAGAAGAAGGAGGGCGACCAGGACGAGGTTCGAGGGCGCCGTCGTGCACTTGTCCGAGCTCGACGACGCGGACCTCGACGGGAAGCAGCTCATCGTCATCGGGAGCGGGGCGAGCGGTGTCGAGGCGGTGGAGACCGCGCGGGCGAAGGGCGCGACGGCCTCGTGCGCGACAACAAGGTGCGCTGCTCGTCTGTGCTGGGCGCATACAGCCACTGATGTCGCGCAGTGAATCATCCCGCGGAACATCGTGGTCGACATGCTCATCTCGGCGCAGCCGTTCGGGCGCGAGATGCCGCTGTTGTTCTTGTGGAGTGGTTCATCGCGTGCTGGAGCTACCGTGGGGCGTCCGAGCTTGTGCCCGTGAGGCTCGACATGTTCAAGAGCACGCCTGGCCCGTCGTCAACGACGAGTTTATCGGGCATGTCAGGGCCGGGCAATGCGAGTACGTCCGGTGCGACATCGAGCGTCTGACGTGCAACGGTGTGCGAGTCAAGGTGGGCGGGCGAAAAGAGAAGCCAGGCGAAGGGAAGGAGCCCCGAGAGGCGCGTTTCCTGGCTTCCTCCACATTCGGTTTCGAATGTGGTCAGATCCATTTTAGGTTCAAGGAGACGTGGTCGTGTTCGCCACTGGACTCAAGAAGCCGGAAGTCGACTTCTTCAAGGACAACCTCTTCCCCGAGAGCTACGACCAGCCGAACCTGTATCTGCAGGACTTCTCGACGGAGGACTGGTCTGTCCTGATGGAACCGACTTATGCCCCATTTCCAGAAGGTAAGAGAGCATTTTATCGATTCCAGGAGCTCGGTCTGATCGAGGCAACCACAGAAACACGCCGAGTCTGACGGGAGTAACTCTGCAAAGAAGGCCAACTAGACGTAGGGCGAGGGCGAGTCTACTTTCTTACATTCTCAAGCTCGACTAACATGTTCTTTACTAGGTGCTTCTTGGAGTCTCTTATCGTGCTTCAAGAAGCACGCTATACACGGGTCCTCGCCCAGAGGACTACGGTCGGATCCACTTGCCCCGTTACTCGTAGCGCAGACTGATACCAGGGCGGCGATGCGTGTATTCCGTGTTCTGTATCCCGCATGCAGCATCAATAGAAGTGTAATAACCCGCATTATACGAGCTTTATAGTCCTATTAGAGCGCGCTTCTGCACGATTATGAACGTTTTCGGCGTGTATCTACACGATTCTGCACGATTACGTGCGCATCCGTGCGATTCCCCGCGATTTGCGAAAAACTTTCAAATCCTGAAACACGTCCGGAGCCACGTGTAGAAACGTTCAAAAGCTTTCAAATGCGCACGCACGTTTTTGAAAGTTTCTAAAAGTTGTAGGGTTTCACTGGGGGTCAGGAGCTTCCGGGGACCGGGACCTGGGTGCTCGGGTGTTGGGGTGTTTCGCATCGGGACCTTTGACGGACACAAGCACGTAGTAGTATAGTTTGGTGACATAATGGGATGCTTAGGCTGTGAGATGCTACCTTTCCGGTTCACAGCGCTATTTGAGACCAAATGTGCTCGACTGAGAAACCGCAGTTGCATCAAGTATTGCACTATTACATAGTAAATACTGGGTGTGTAAAGTTTAAATAAGCACCTCGGGCGCGGGAAAGTGGACGCGTGCGAGGTAGATGCGTTGAGTGTGGCGAAGTGAACATGTCGGTCGCGGTGAGATGGACGTGTTGAGCACAATGAGACGGCGTCGAGCGCAGCGAAGTAGACGCACAAAGAACGACAAGACAGACGCGTTGAGCGCGGCGAGGTAGACACGTCGAGTGTGGCGAGGTGGGCGCGTGGAGCGCGGTGAGACTCCAGGCGCGGCGAGACGGACACGTTGAGCGTGGCGAAGTAGACAGCGAGGTGCCAGGCAACGAGGTCTGTGTACAGAAGGTGATTCCCACGGCAAGCGCAGGCCGCGTGTGCGCCGTCGGCGTTGCCAGCGCACGCGTCTTTTCTTGTTTTCCCCCACTTCGCTACTCCTCTCGGCGCCCCTGCTGTCTTGACTTCCCAGTCGCTATCGCCCTCAGCCACGCTTTTCTCGGCAGCCTCTCCCACGACCTTCTCATTCACGACCTCTCCGCCATTTCTATGCACCCCCTTCGCTGTCTTTAAAATCCATTTCCTTTCGACTCTCGAGCTTTGTCTTCACCCCGATTCTCACCACTTCCATAGCGCTCCGCACACACTATTCGATCACGGAGACTGAAAGCGTCTCGCACGCCACTCGGGGGACGACACAAATGCATGGCACGACGTGCATGCTTTGGCGCTGCGGCGGCCGACACGGTGAGTTTTTCCCCCTTCTGATGCTCTGCTGCCGCGTTCCCAGCCCGCATTGTCGTCCGACGCGCAATTTGCTTGAAGCCCCAGCCCAAGTCCATGCGGGTGGCACTACACACTCGCCCGACACCATCCTCCCTGTTCGACGACGATACGCAGCTGCGTTCTTTTCGTACGTAAGTACAATTTCTACTTGTTTGCTCTTGTATTGCGCCTGTATATTCATGGGCAAGCCCCGCGATCCCCTCCGTCCCAGTCTGTGTCTGCTTGCGTCCGCATACGACAACATCACGGCGCTCGTAAGGTACGTCTCCTCCCGCTCGTCTCCCTCTCCCCCGCTGACAGTCTTTGATAGATGAGAACTCGTAGCCTTGCTCGCTCCTCCCGTGAGCTACCGTTGCGCGTTACGCCTGGTTAGGCCCGCAACAGTGAAGATGTGCGCCCAGTCTCTCATCGTCATGGTCATATCCATACGGCGTTGGAGGCCATACCCAACATGAGCACGAGCCCGGGGAGCGCGACTACGCGCGCAACAACGCGTGCGCACCGCCGGGCCCGAAGCAGTCACAGATGGCCTGCAGGTGCGGGTCCACGGCCATCGGGTGCTCAGGCGCGACGTGGAGATGGAGCTTGGGGCGCGAAGAACGCGTTGCCGGTGAGTGGGGTTCTGTTTGGGTGCGGGCGGAGGGTGCGGGCGATGCGGTGCATGGAGCCGCGCTACGCTTGAACGTCGTGCGGGTCGTAGCTGTCAGGGCCAGGGAGAGGTGTCGTGGGCTGGGGGTGCGGAGATCGCTGGGCGCAATGGAGCTGGGTAGGAGGGTGTTTCGTCACCTCGGGAGTGTTGTAGGCGACCAGTAGTACATGCTGTTTTGCCCGTCAAATCAATATATTTTATGCCTGTCCAATGAATGTGCGATATGGATGACCAGACCCCAGGATTTGCACTGGTGCAAACGTACTCGCGACTGCTCCAGAGTACTCTGGAGAGGGTGCTCGGAGCTACTCCAGAGCACTCGGGGAGCTGGCGCCAAGACTCCAGAGCACGCGCGAGCCGCCCGCCGAGCTCCGAGATGCTCCATAAAAGGGTACTTGTCTCAGGCTGCTCCGGCTACTCTCGAGACCCCGTTGCACTCTGGAGACAAGGTGTTTTTGCCTGATGATGGCGCTCAAGTGGCAGAATGTACCCGGTTTCTTCCCGGATCGTTTGATCGTCCTCCACGAAATCCGGCCGAGAAGATCAAAAGTGGCTACAAAGCCTGGGAGTTCCTCATGTACGTCTTCGGTCTCGGTCCCTGTCTCCTCTACGCTTCCCCTCTTCCCCTTCAATACTTCGTGAACTTCTGTCGACTCGTCCGTGCCATCCGGATTACGCTAGCATACAGCATCCGTGAGGACGACCTCCTTGAAGCACACAGCCACTTCATGCAATTCACCACCGAGTTCGAGGAGCTGTACTACAATCGTCGTGCCGATCGTCTCCACTTTGTGCGGCAAAGCATCCATGCCTTATCTCATATTTGCCCAGAAGTTCAGCGGCTTGGCCCGCAAGCGTGCTACACACAGTGGGTCATGGAGCGTGCCATTGGCTCCCTGACACAGGAGCTTCGGAACCATTCTAATCCCTACGCCAACCTCTCTGAACGTTTTGTTCGAAGAGCCCTGATCAACGCGCTCAAGGCTATGTTCCCAGAGCTCGAGCACACAAAATACAAGTCCGGAGAATACCCTCGGGGCGCCGAAGAGGTCGGGTCTGGTTACGTGCTCCTCCGGGCAGTCGATGCGAAGGAGCGCACAATTCGTGCTGAAGAGGGAAATGCACTCCGGGAATACCTCAAGGAACACGATCCTCCCAACAAGGCGCTCTACGAAGATGCGCCCGCGTTCCGTGTGGCACGCTGGGCAAGACTCCTTCTACCAAATGGCCAGATTGCAAGATCATATTGGAAGGAGGGTGGCAAGACAAAGCCTAAACTCCGTGTCTCCCGTAATGTGAAGGTAAGCGGGGTTGTGGCTCTAATATATACAGGCATGCTAACTAGCTTGGCAGATCGTACTCAACGGAGAGATACGATACGGGGAAGTGCAGTACTCAAAATTGGAAACCGGAAGCAAGGCGTCGCCATGCTATCACTCTGGAGTCTGCCGGAGCCGACACTGCTCAAACTATCTTGCAAGACCATCTACTCTTCCCTTCCTGGTGGTGATGACGGACTCGTGGTTGTTCCGGTGCATTGTATCAAGTCGGTCGTGGCGATGATTCCCCATCCGGAGCATATTCCCTCTGTTGAGGGACATATTGTCACTCGAGACGTAGATGTGACTGGCCGGTGGTGCGTCGTCGAGAAGCCCGGACTGGAAGTAGCACACTACGCAGGGAGGGATGAAGATATATTCGCAGACGATGAAGCGGGAGAGGGGGAGCTGGGAGGAGAGAGGGAATAACTAGTATTTGATACTGTAGTACGCCATGCCGCACGGTGTGGAGGTTTCGTGGGCGCGCGCGTCGGCGGCTCCAGATGATTGGACGCGCGGAGTCCGGACGCGCTGGCCAGTCTCCCATTCATCTACTACCACCTGCGTACCATCCTGTTCTCGCCCACATCGTTTCTCATGCACGGGCCATCCATCCTATCTTGTCTCTTGTGATTGGAGAACATGCTCACTGAGCACGACGCAGGACGATGAAGAGCAGGAGCTGAACTCGTTCCGGCAACCCACCACCACCCTCCGCCCAACCTCCGCCTCTCCTCCCGCATCCGCCCCCGCGATCCCGGACGAGCTCACCGACCGCCTTAACGCGTTCGCCAAACAGCTCGAAGGTCTGGGAGGAGAACGGGAAGGTATGTTCATTCGCCCGCGACTTGTCTCCGCGCAATTCGAACCTAGCGCGCTCGACGCATACACCCACTCCCTGCTTCACACAGATCTATATCAAGGACGTCAAAAGCTCCAATGGCACTTTCATTAACGGCGAGCAGCTGAGCGCAGAAGGCCTCGAGTCGGAGCCGTTCGAGCTCAAGACTGACGACATCGTCGTATGTAGCCTCCCTCCCGCGCTGTGATGCGCTTCCCCCACCCCGTGTCTCACGCTCGCCGACTTCTCCCGTCCCTCCGTCCCCTCTCCCGCAGGAATTCGGCATCGACATCGTCGGCGAAGACAACAAAACTATCGTCCACCACAAGGTCGCTGCCCGCGTAGTATGCGTCTTCACCGAGCTCGACGCGCAGGCCGCACAGCGCGCCGAGGTGCAAGCCCAGCAACAGGGTGCGCAAGGCTATATGGGTGGCATGCCCAACCAACCCGGCGCCAGCAACAGCCCCTTCAACTTCGGCAACGGTCAGGGCAGTTCGAACGGGGCCGGGCCAAAGCGACGGCCAACATTACAGCCTCAAGGCCTCGTCGGCATGGGCGGCATGGGCGGTGGGAACGTCCGCGTCCCCGGCAAGAGTGGTTTGATCCAAGGGGAGCTGCAGAAGAGCAGGGAGACCGGTGCGGAGCTCCACTCGCTCAGCAGCGGTCTCGCCGAGATCCACGATACCCTCGGTGGCAGCTTGGTACGTTTTCTCGTTAACGCCGCCGATCGTCCGCTTATCGAACACCTAGCCTTCTAACCTCCAGCCATATCCTCCAACACTGCCGCCAGTCATGCCAGCGCAGGTCGCTCGCGCTGCGGAAGAGGCCCATCAACGGCCGGCATCAGAACCCTCGAGCACCATGTCCGAGGCCACGAAGATGGCGATGATTTCGCATCGGACAACAACGACACCCGAAGCATCTCGACGGTCACCCCTCATGAACTCGAGCGCGTCGACGAGGAGGATGAAGAGCAAATCGCGGCTGAGGAAGAGGAAGAGCAGCGGAGGAGTCGCGACGAGCTCGGCCGCCCGCGGACACCGGCATGGGCATGACCGAGGACGACGAAGAGCAGGAGCCGAACTCGTTCCGGCAACCCGCCACCACCCTCCGCCCGACCTCCGCCTCTCCTCCCGCATCCGCCCCCACGATCCCGGACGAGCTCACTGACCGCCTCAACGCGCTCGCCAAACAGCTCGAGATGGCGCTTGAGCTCTCGCGCTCACTCGGAGCCCAGCACGCTACCGCGCAGTTTATGATCTCCGTCCTCGAGTCCAAGGTCGCGTCACTCGAGAACCTCGTCCAAATGCAAGTTCAGTCTCAGGTCGAGGTTACCGAACAGCTCGTCCAAGCGTCTGAGTCCGCCCGCGCCGCCCCGCAAGAACCCACCGTCCCCGTCGCCGCAGTCGAGGAGGCGAGGAAGGAGGAGCGCGAGTCGCTCACCTCGATGTGGAAGAAGAACGTCGAGGGCAAGTGGAGCGGCGTGCACAAGGACTGGACGGAGGAGCGGGAGCACCTCCGGCGAGTCAGGGACGAGTGGGAGAGCTGGATGTGCACGGCCGAGGAGACGGTCTCCACCGCCGCGACGAAGGTCGAGAACGGTCTCATGTCCCTGATGTCCTTTCAGGCGCACCAGCAACAGAAGTTTATGAACGGCAACACGAAGCCCCATTCCAGCGGCACCAACGCGACAACGGACGCACGGCTGCCTCCCTCTGCTAAAGCATGTGTGAGTCCCGACGCACCCTTCCCTGCAAGACATTGTGTTCCCAGGCACGGAGGCAGACGATGGCCCCCGCCTACTCCGCTGTCCCTCTGTCCGCACGCGCACGAGTACACGCTCGAGTGTATCAACTTTAGGCGGTGAAGCGGAACATGGTGGTGGGAACATCCGCATCCCTAGCAAGAGTGGTATTACTTTCAACTAAGGTATGTCTCCGTTCGCTCGGTTACGAGATGGCGTACTTACACGTCTTGCAGCATATCGACCTCGTAGGATGATTCAACAACAACCTCGAGGCCCACTTCCTCGGAGAACGTCTCGTCTCGTCTGGCTTGTCCTCGAGCCGCCCTGCGGCATACTGCAGCGCTCGGGCAGCGGCGCCGAGCCTTCCTGCGCGCGCGAGCCCAAGGAAAAACTCGAAGAGCGCGAGCGCGGGTTGCGAGCTCAGGTGACGGCGCGGCCCTGGTGCGGACGACACTGTCCTGCGCGAGATGGAAGGAAGTAACACGGAGCTTGAGGAAGAGCTCAAGAACGTACGCGGGCTGCTCGAGAACACGGACGAGCTGGAGCGCATGCGGGAGTTCGCCGAAGAGTTCCGCGGCGACCTCGATATCGCGGTCGCTCGAAGCCCAGCACATTCCAGCGGCGATCCCATCACCCCTACCAGCCCTCGCTCCCTCTCCACTGAGTCCACTCGCCCCCGGAACCGGAGGAAACGCGCTGCATCGCCGTGAGGACGCACCCATCATTCTCATTCTCGCCAACCAACGACGGCGCCGACCACTTGGTCTCTCTCGATGCCACAAGCAGCGAGTCTTCATTCCCTGGTCCACAACTGATTATTATGGGACCGCCTCCCTCCGCCAACGCCTCCGCAAGTCTCGATGCACGCTTTTCCCTCCAGCTCGAGGTCTACCGGCTGCGGCGCGACATGGAGTGGCTCGACGACCGCGAAACAACGGCGCCAACTTTCACCTAGTCTTTCTCGATGCTACAAGCAGCAAGTCATCAATGCGTCAATCCCCGGTCCACGATGACGATCGCCATGGGACCGCCTCCCTTTGCCAAAGTCTGCGTGAGTCCCGACTCACCTTTCCCTGGTGCCTTCCTTCGACTAACATATCCTGCTCATCGCGCAGCTCACCTTCATCGACGTGGCCAGAAAGGAGGCCTTCCACCTCCTCTGCGCGACGGACGACATCCGGGACTGGCCCTGGTGGGCACGCAAGTTCATGAACGACCCTGAGCGCACGCGCAGACCTCCGCGGCCCCGCCCCACCTCGATCTAGGACACGTCACAACAGCGACATGCATACTACCATCCGCAGTCATCGCGGAGCACTTGCCCTTGTCGTAGGATCCAGCCTCTGTAAGCTGCCGTCACGTTCTCCGTTCCCCAACACTGACTAGCGCGTTGTCATAGCCATCGGCGGCAGAGCTTGTTTGAGGCTTGAAACAGACCTGGGATGGATTGGTGATTAATTGATTGCGGTGGGTTAAAAGGGCGACTCGAGCGACAGACGACGGTACGTTCCACATCCTTGCATATCTGTTCCCCGTTTTCATCACCTTCTCTCGACGCTCGCCTCTCCTTACCTAACTTCGCTTTCGCCCGCTCTAAATCGCCCCTCTCTCAACGCTTCCACCTTCAACTATGGACCCGAACCCCCCGTTCACCCCCATTAATCACCACCCTACCGACATATTTGACGAGGGCGACAGCACTAGCACATTGGTTCAGCCGCTTCCACCCCCAACAAGGACCACGGCCCATCCACACCGCGGATACTACATAGATGATCTCGATCGTCGTCTTGAACAGGTTTGTCACTTTTCTTACCATTATCTGTCTAAGCTAACTCGTGTGCAGGACTTCTCGTCCTCCCCCTTCAGCTCTAGCCCGGGCTTCTCCCGGTACGGCTCTCAATTTGGCCCGCGCTATCGCGCCTTTCAAGAAACGCGTGACGATCTGCGTAGCGCGCACTCCGACCTGCAGAACAACTTTGCTCGGGTACAAGCGGAGCTGGAGGCTGAACGGTGAGTACTCGTTTTCCCAACTGAATGAATCGTCCTGATTTCCTAGCTATAGAGCCATTCGTTCCGCGCTTGCACAAGCGTTGGCCAACAGCGCGGGCAACGCAGCCGGGCCGCCCGGAGGCAATGTCGCCCGATCGCGCCCGAAGAAAACTGACTACCCCAACATCCACTACTGGTTCCATCACGAGTATCTTGCGCAGGAGAGGGCCAAGCGTCAAGCCAGGACCATCACCGATCCTGCTCAAGATCTCACTGAAGACATCGACGACGGCACCCCGAAGCCCGGAAAGCGAGGTCCTACTCGTGCAGCACATGGCTACAACGACACCTTCCAGTGGCTTGAAGACGAAACTGGAAAGCCCGTGAGTGGAGCTTACTGTACCCTTATTCGAGCCCGTTCTCGCGCGATCTGGGAACGTCTGCTTGAGGACAGCCGTGCGCCTGCAAAATGGGGTCGCGCTCCAACGGATGTCCGCACGGAGTACATCGAGGAGATGGAGGGGGCGTTTCCAGAGCTGGGATACTGCGAGGCTCACTATAAAGCCATCCTTGTCACGACGATGGGGTATCCCGCGTTCATCAGGGGACGCAAGGCGGCCCTTGCCAACGGCAGCAATGGCGGCGGCGGTGGCGACAATGACGGTGATCATCCCGGCTCGCGCGCTGGTGTGAAGAGGCGTTCTCCTGCAGGCCTTTCGACAACCTCGCACAAGAAGGTCCGGAACTCTCCTCCATCGCCGTCGCCTCCTTCTACGCCCACCTCATCGTCGCTCATGTTACCAGATGAAGTGTGAGTGTTGTCAAACTGCAAGGTGTACGATTTTCGCCTAAGCTAATTGTACATCTGACTAGTTCCGATCTCATGGGGAACGGCTATACACTCAGTACCCCGCCATCGCCTGTGATTGGTAATGAAGATGGTTCCCCGCCCACGACGACGCTCCCCACCCACGCCAACCCAACTGACCGCCCGCGAGTCCAAATTCGAAATGCGTTGTAGGTTTATCTCCTCCCCTCTGTGCTCGTAACCTGACCTCACTCCCCATTGCTAGTACCAACTATCTAGAGCAGCAGGCTCTTGCTGCCGCATCGCAGAAGTCCGCGCTCCCGGAATCCCAAGTACCCACTGTTTCCCATTCTGATGCTGTCGGGAGCATGGAGCCAGCCTCCGCCTCCGCGACATCCACTCCTTCCTCACCGGTTCAGAGCCCTGGGTCCACGGATATGGATGTCACAATTGCGCCCACGCAAGATGGCCGAGCCCCCCTCCATCTTCTCGCTGCTGCTGTCGGTGAAGTTGCCTCTGGTCACCCCTCAACTCCTCCCCCTCTGTGCGTAGTTTATCCTTTGCGTGTTCGCCATTACTCAACATACCCCAGTGAGAGTTCCCCCACTGTGCCGGTGGCTGCCATGTCGACAGCGCCAGTGCAAGGACCCGAATTGCCTGCGGACACGGCGGATGCTAACTCCACGACACTTCTCGGCCAGAAGAAGCCGAAGCCACAGCCGAAACGCTTCGCCGTCAAAGACGGTTGTATGACTGTGCGGTATGTGCTCTCGCTTTTCACGCCTGTTATCCACTCATTTGTGAATCAGGAGCATCTGCGGCAGGCACTGGCTGAAGGACCATCCCGACGGCAGTGTCCCGGAATTCAACAAACACTGGAAGGTGGTCAAGACGACGCCAAACCTCGTCAAGGTTTGTTTCAGCCTTTTGTTGTACGACTGCACTGTACTAATGTGATCCTCCGGAATACAGCAGTATGAGGAAGAGCGGCAAGCCTACGTATGTACTATTCACTATACTCTCATATATACTTCTGACGACCTTGATTAGCTCAACATCAAGGCAAAGTAACTACACCATGCCCCTCTGGTAACATTCACACTTGCACTTGTCGTCTTGCGCGCACGCCATGCTGACTATTATCCTTTCGCAGCTTCCCACAAGCGCGCTGCATCGGGCGACCGTAGAATTAGATTACATTCGTTTTTAATCCGTTTGGAATAGATGTGCATCTGTTTTTTATCCGTTCGGAATAGATCTGTGTTCGTTGTTCATTCGATTGGAACAGATTGTCATTCATTGTGCATCCGATTGGAACAGACTGGCATTAGGTCACGTTCGACAGGGATTTGACAACAATTAGATTTGATTCGCCCGGGATCAGAAAGCATTCGCCTGGGATACGGGATCATTCGATTGTATCCGACAGTATTCAACCCGCGATCTAATGGATATCTAATGATATTCGCCTCACCGAATGAAATCTAATGGTCAGATTTCATTCGCTCCGATTCGATTTCATTAGACGGCTTTCCGGCTGGGCCTAAGGTTGCCTACACCATGACCTTGCAATCAATTTCGGCAGAACCCCTCGAAACTGGTTTTCAGGAGTGTATTTTCGCATATCACACTGTGGGAAGGCCCCAGAGTTGGTGGAAAATCCAGACTTTTTCGCAGAAAACGGATACCTGCCCGCGCGGGTGAGGCCGCATCCTCGCGCGCTCACGAACTGAGCATATAGCTCAATACGAACATCTCATGCACCCCACGCGCGCCATGAATCACCCTTGGAGGGGCGCATGATCGTCTACTATCATCATCATATCATCGACTACAGCTTTCTGTCTAAGCTACTAGCGTCTGTAGTAAATACATCATATCCTGTATGCGGCCACAAAATGCGATCGAATGTCATATCAAAGACGAATGAATATCAGCTGCTACCGTTCCGCCATCATCATTTGTCGCTCAGACAATAGACGGCCTGTCCCTATCTGGCAGAGTCGCGCGCTATCGGGCGCTACCGTAAAAAAACGCCTTTTGCTGATGTGTTTGGTGAGTTTGAGGAAGGACCGGGACGGCAGGGACTTGTCCACAGTTTGCATCGCCGCGCGGCGCTTCGTCGACTGCAACGCCTTCGTCGCCTTCTCCTTGAGGTGGTCGCGAAACACCTGCTTCGTCTTTGACGAACTGACGGGTAGGGGCTCGTGAAGGGAGGGAGGGAGGTGTTTTTTAGGTGACGCGCAGCCCCCAGCTGCTTCTTTTGCCGCCTCGTCGGCGAGCTCGTTGCCCTCGATATTGACGTGGCCGGGAACCCACCGTAGCGTAAGGCGAAGTGACGGGTGTCGCCCTCGTAGTGCTTTCCAATCCGCGTGAAAAATGTCGTGCAAGCACTTCCCCACACCAGAGTCAGACTTGAGGGAGGACTCGACCGTCCCCTTCGCGTCGAGTGCGATCGACGCATGCTTCTCGTGGTGACAGACCTGGCGGAGTAGGGCGAGAGCGAGGATGGTGCGTCGTGTCTTGACGGGGGCGCTACCCCTGATCCATTCTCCTTCGTGCTCAAGTGCTCACCTTTCCCATGCTGCATCACATCTGTCACACTCCTACTCTATCCGACTTCCTGAGTCTCATGCTCAAGTCTCATGCCCATGTGAGCTCACTCTTTCTTGTTTACTGTTGCCGAAGAGGAACAATGAGGCTATGGAAATCAAGCCAGGCACTCCAATTCCACCGGTCTGGCTTGTGTTGAGGCGAGATCTGGCTCCCACTTGGGATGGCAGATCGCAATTTGGCGGGCGATCGCCTATTCAAACTATGCAGCTAGGTTCTTAGATCCGAGGGTGTGCAGTTAGACGTCCTCAGCGCAGCAAGCAGGGTTGAAGCACACATCACAGGTGGGGGAAGCAAGTCGGTGGCGGACAGCGGAAACAAGACGGGGCGGCGGGGCGGCGAGTATACAGCGCCGGCCGCATGCAGCCCCGTGTGCAGAGGGGACGCGCGTGAGAGCGCCAAAGGTTCAAGTGGGAGGAGGAGGAGGGAGTGCGTGGATATCCTCGACGCGTCGTAGGCGTCGACAAGACAGCAAGGCGTGGTAGAGGGCGGCGGCGGGCGCCCGTGGTCCATTAGGGCGTTCTCCTTACCGCATCACAACATGATGGCAGGCGGAGCGGGGGATTCACACAGACAGCTCGAGGTACACAGTTGAAAACTCTGGCCACATAGACGCACTTACCTATCGTGGGTGTGATGGGCGCTGCCTGCCTGGCGGGCAACAGAGACAGGCCAAGGACAGAACGGGGGGTCGGACACATCAACTCACCGGCGTAATGGCACGGGACTCCGAATACACACGGCAAAAAGACGTACTCACCTGCAAAGAGGTGCTGAAGAGCTCACCTTTATGCGGCCCCGACAGAAGACGACCTTTATGACGGATGGAAGAGAGACGAGCACGGAGGACGCGCGCAGTGCCGAGGTCGACTCATAATACGCGTTGTGCAGGAGGCAGGTGGAACGGGACCAAGGGACCATACGCGCAGCCACGTCTGCGTGCCGCTCGAAGCCGCCGGGCCGTGATCTAGCTGCGTCGCGTGACCAGTGACACTGACCAGCGAGCGCCCGTCCCCCGGCCCTGTCCCTCGTCGTCCAGCCTCGTCGCTGGGCGTGACGGCTCTACGAGATCGGTGGGCGTACGCCGGACAGCGGGGGTTGGGCCTGGGCCCGGCAGAGCCGGGCGCGGACGCGGAGCGGAGCGAGCCGCCGGGTGGGCGGGATCGCTCGCGCCGCAATTTGGTGATGTCCGGCGAGAGCCCATGGCACGTGCGAAATATTTCAATAGGCAGCTAATACGAACAAATATGCGAGCGAAAGGGAGTGGTGGGTGGGTGCGAGAAGACGATGGATGGTACGTAGGGGGAGAGAGAGAAGGCGCGCGGACAGACGGGCAGACGGCACGGGAAATTTGCTTGAGGCCTAGGCGCCCAGAGCTCGGCCGGACGCTGGGGACCGGCCTCGCAGGCTCGGCCGGCACCTGCATAGATACCAAACCAACGCCCCTCGTACCAAACCATCCGGCCTCCACAACCACTACCTCACCGACGCACCCGCGCCCCGTCCCCCACGCAACGCTCGCTTCAAGAGGCAGTCATCACGGTCTCCCCGGAAGAGGTGCATCTCGTCAAGTTGTCTTCTCGCCCGCCTGAAACTCACCACTGACTACGATCTCGCGTGGCCACCCTCCCGCAGCGCGAGCTGCGCGGTGTCCATAAGGACGTGCCCCGAGATCGCGAAAGGTCCTGGTTTTGAGCTCATGGTCCCTGTTATGGCCTGCTCCACCGCCTGTCTGGTTACGAGCTTCGGGGCGCACCCGCTACGGACGCCCAGCATACGATCGCCCGCCACCCTACCTTTATATACTGTTCCCGCACCTACCGTCACACTACGCGATTGCCTCCTGGATCCTCCCCGTCGTCTCTCCTGCCCGTCTCCCCGCTACCGCGAGCCTCTCCGAGGTCAAGCGCGTCCTCTAATCCGATCCCGACTTCCTGCTCGTCTCCGACTCGCCCGACCTCCGCGCTCCCGCGCTCCGCGACCGTAACAGTCCCTGCTAATGCTGCGCAGTATCCCGTCTGCTTGTGGTACTCGGAGCTGGAGCCTCGTCTTCTCGGTTTTATGGAAGGGTGGGGCAGCTTCATCGGCATGTTGTGCTCGCTCGCTCTCCGGGTCGTCGCACTTGCCGCCACCGATATGGGGGCCGTTCAGCTCATCGGCGCCGGGACCCGGGGAGGACGTTGAGCCACATTCCAAGACTCCTGCTCGCCCCTTGGAGGAACCGCGCACGCGCAGACAGCAGACCCCGAGCGGCCCTGTCACTGGGCTCCCCCACCCGCCCTCCGGCTCGGGGCTCCATTGTGAGTGTGGCTGCTGCTGGGCGAGCGGGGCAGGGTTACAGTCTCGTCCCAGAGCTGGATCTTGAACGTGGCAGAGAGCAGTGACGAGCCCTCCGAGTCCCGGTAGTCGTTGAACCCGTTGTCGTTGGACACGAGCCCCGGTACGCCCGACGGGCTTATCGGGCCCCTCGCACTTGTTCTGACGACACCCGCGTCGAACAACACGCACCGTCGAGGCTCCATGCGCCTTACGCGAGTCGGGGAGCTGCCCTGGGTGAATGTGGGCGTGTACAGGGGGGGGCGAATTTCAAGCTACTCCCGAATGTCATGAAATGCCGCAAGCTGAAGCAGTCTACCTGAGACCACAAGTACGTACAACCTTCCCACTCCCGAGGCCGAGCTCCACCCTCCAATGCGCACGCGCTCGGAGTGTCTATCCCATTGCTCCGCGCATTGGTGACCACGCTCAATCCGCCCCATAGCAGTTCAGCCTGCTCAGTGCCGCCGCACAGTGCGAGCTTGGTTTTGTTGTCACTTTGTAAGTGCTTAGACCCGTTAGCTTTTTGTCTCCACCAGAGAGACGCCAACATTGAGTTCGGGTCACCCCGAACAGTGCAGCTCATACGACTTCCAACACCGAGTCCCGCACTACTCTTCCCAACCATCCTCGCTCTCATCGCACGGATCAGGCGCGCACACGACACGACCGCGGGTCAAGTCGCGCTTGTGTGGCTACCCCTGCAAGACCCTGACGTCATCCCCATTCCCGGGTTGATCAAGGCTGCAGTATGTCACTCTGGGCGTCGGACGGACATGCACCAGCCTCCAGCGAGGCGTCGCGACGGTGGCATATTGTTCAACGCCCTCATCGCGCCTAGGACATGAGGGATACGTCAATCGCAGCTGGCGCCCCCAGCTCCTCCCATCCGCGCCAACAGCTCGCGGTGGACCCACCGCGACGGAGGGCCAGCGGCTCTTCAGACTACCCCGGTCTCCGAAGCCCCTAGCTCCACCTGCTGGACCCAGCGCTCTCGATCCCGTCCTGCTGGGACCGCCGCGGTTCTTTCCTCCAAACAAGCAAGCCTCACTCTCGCCTTCTTTCCCAATCCCCCCATAGGCACCGACACTGACCTATTCGCGCCTGCCCGCTTTTCATCAGATATGTGGCTGCCCAGTCGT